AACTTGAAAGGGAAAGAGGAAAGAGTGGAGTTTGAGAGAGGGAGAAGATCCTTGGAGGGGATTTTCAGAGAGTGTGGAGGGGATTTCACATTGTTGCTCTGACAAGCTCGTACCTCAGTACCATCAAATTTAAGGTTTGTCTTGAGGGAAGTTTTGGGAAGAAGAAGATATCTTTGGTGTCAAAGGACCCGGCTACTCCGTCGTATCGGGGATGATGGAAGTGATTTTGTAAGGGCTTCTCCGCCTAGCTGTGGGGGACAAAGGAGAGTCACTTAAGGTTTAGTGCAATACTCTAAGGGCGCCTTCGAGGAGTGGACGTACGTCAAGTTGGACTGAACCACTATAAACCTGGTGTGTTCTTTCCTTTATTATTTTTGAACTTTATTTTTATTATGATTAACAGCTTGGTTGAAATCTCAAATTAATTTTTTTATTATTGATTTATTTTATTTCTGCTATAAGAGATAAAAAGAATTTTTTTTTTTTGCTAAAGAAGTTTTTTAAATATCCAATTCACCCACCTCTTGGTTAGCCTCGGGACTAGTTCATAAGGGCTTATCATCCCTGGTGAACTTTCAATTTACTTTATATTTATAGGTTTTACCTAGTTAATTTTAGCTTCTTAATTTATTTGAAAGTGCAGACACAATATTATAAATTTTAGCTTCTTAATTAATTAGAATAAGCTCAAAGACACTGCTTTGTGAGCATTTATCATCAGCATTAACAAATTGAGCTTCAAGAGTATTTTTAATGTTTGCAAAAATAATAAAATGTAGTAGAATTTTCTTTGAGCTAAAATGAGGCATTCTTGTGTTGTACTTGTTATCGTTACATTTATTGGACTGGTTGGAAAATTGAATTGGATTCCTAATTTGGTATGCTTTGTTGGGCTCATTTGTTTTCAGAAATTTCACTTCCATAGGGATTAGAACCCCACTATAAAAAATATTAGGTTTCTACAACAATTTTTAAAGCCCATTTTAAACCACTGCTATAGATTGATATAGGCAAAGGTGCTAATTAATTATAAGAAATTTCAAATTTTTATAGTGGTTTATAGAAGCGGTTTACAAATCGCAGCCATTGTGCACTAGCTCCCACTCGACTTGATCTCAAGTCCATCTCCTAGGCCCACAAAGGTAACATGTATTCTTCAATTTATTTTCTTTAAGCAGGGGAAAGGCATCATTAGTAGAATCAAGGACTAAGGTAGTTATAATTAGTTCATGGATCATTAAGCTTCTCCTCGAACATGGTTATACCCTGTATGGAATAGTTTGAAGTATAGGTATTACTCTAATCCCCTTTCCCTATCGTGATATTTTGTTCTCAAAATTTTTTGGTTTGGTTGTTGAAAAATATAAAGAAAGAAGATAAAATGTTTTTACTATTTTGAAATTTCAGATAAATATGTATAAATTTGTTTAACTCATTACTAATTCCTGCCAAAAAAAACACTTCCTATTTCTCTTTTTTTTTTCTTGCAGGTTCATGGAAATATTATAATATCCAAGGACATATGATTAGTAGTTTGTTTCTTGTCAAAGTTTATTTATTTTTATTTGTTACATCTAAATCTACATCTCATTCTAAATTTTCCTTAAAAATCTCAAAATCTAAAATAACCTGAGACAATTAGCTCCTGCATCTCCTTTTCTTTTAAATAAGCGAATTATTATATATTGCTTATTCAGGCATGCTATTCAGTTGATGTCACCAACAAGCATTGAGGCTAAAATAAATGGAAGAGATAAAATATGTAAAGTATCACAAACTATAGGATATCTTCTATGAAATAATTGGAAGAGATTCTTCTGCCAATGAAATGTGGGTATTAGGTTTTAAAAAAAAGTTGCAGAAAAAAATATTGAGATTTTGATTTGGATTTATTTTATATCAACAATATCAACACTTAGAAAATCATTTTGTCAAAAGAAGGATTTAGCCAATATTGCTTTGATAATATTTTAACACAGGAAACTCGTTGAATCATGTAGTCTGTATTATGTATTTTTTGTACCTCAATTTGATGGTGTTTTCTCAAGTTGTTAGTTTATATGGCTCTTGATTTGTTTGCTAGTTTTACAAGATTCTTCCCTGATTAACTATCAATTAACATGTTATTTATATTAACTAAATTTATATTTGTATAGTATTTTGTTTATAATTGTAATTTGATCACAATATTTTTTTTTGGTATTATATTTTTTATTGTTGTGGATCTATGGTTTATGATTTTGATGATAGCAAACATTCTTTATTTCTCTACGATTGCCTTATGTGCTAACATTTCAGGTCCATACGATTAGACTGCAATTTGGAACCAGCTCAAGATTGGGTAGACTAGGTATTAGTCAGTTTGTAATCTTTTTCTTTTCTTGAGTTTGTTGTATTTGTTGTGGTAACTATTGATTTGTAACTTGGAAGATTTTCTGCTATTCTCTAAAAGATTTATATTTTTGGTAACATCGGCCGGGACGATATTTATATCGTACTGGACGATATGTCTCAATTTCCAATTCTGACGATCGCTCTGGGGAAAATTGCGGCGACACTTGAGAGAAAATTTTTTCTCTCATTTTGGACTTTCGCCGGTGGGGTTTGATCATCTATTTCTTGAGTTATGGTTGGGGGTGGCCGTCGGTCACACGGTGGGGCGTGGTGGAGGAAGAGATGGAGGAGGTTCTGAGGCTAGGATGCGGTCTGGCGTCCGAGGGAACGCTGCTGTTGAGGGAGGTAGTTCGGGAGTTGTTGTAAATAGAATAGGAGGTAATGGTGAGTGGAGGTTTTCGTTAATAGGATTGGAAAGTTTGGCTGAGATTGAGGATGAGGGGAAGAAATCGGCCTATACTCAAGCTCCTGGTAAGGTTGGAGTTACGAGTTCGATCAGATCTGGAGTATCACAGAAGGTCAAGGTTCAAGGGGCAATTTCCAGTGGGGAGTTGAAGGTTGAATCAAATGCGGGAAGCCATGGAGTGGAGGATCGGGAGATTCAGATGAATGATTCATTTGTGTTGGATGAGGTGATGGAGGTTTTGGGTGGTTCTGAGGCGGAGGAGTTCATTAGAGATGTAAACGCAGGAGTTGGATCCTTGGTTCAAGATGAGCTGAGCTGGGACGATACTTATTCAAGAGCTCTTGATGGACTACCAAAGGGAGCGGATCAGGCTGTGATGATGGATTCGGAAGTGAATGTTGAAGCTGGATCGCTGGAGAAGACGGGGTGAATTTGGGACACTGCAATGTTTGGAGCTCTTGGTGAAATGCCGGATGTATTGATGCAGGCTGAGGTGATGGAGTCTGAAGTGAAGGGGGAGCTTGTCTCATCTGGTTGTGCTGAGGTAAGGAATATGATGGACAATCTTGTGTTTGAATCAGATACTTTTCATTTTACTTTTGGTGGGATGAAAAATCTGGAGGATCTAAAGAAGAGAACAGCGGAAGGCTACGTTTTGGATACCAGAGGGGATAATGAAATTGTTAAACCGAGGATTGATTTTGGTGTCCTTGGTAATTTACCTGAGGTGCAAAAGGATGATCTGGTAGCTAGGGGTGATCGGGTTGATATGGTTGGCAGTGATGGTTTTAAATTGAGAGAGGGAGCTTCAACTGTTTGGGGAAATGCCTCTGTAGCTAATGTAGCTACTGTACAGCCGAGTGTGGTGCCTGGGGTGTCTAGACCAGTGAAGAAGGAAGTGGATGAGATTAAAGCAGCGGCTAATGCATGGAAGAAATTTGTTCCTGTGATGTTAAGCTTGCAGGAGGATGTTGACAATTTTTTGACAGAAGATGGGCTTGTGCGGCTGAATTTGGATAAAGCTAGGGGAAATGTTCGTAGGCTTGACAGAGCTATAGTTGGTAGTTTGTTGGGACGTAGATTGCAATCCTGGGTTGTGCAGAATGAACTTCAAAGGAAATAGGGTCACCTTGGCTTAATGCAGGTTAATCCTATGGGAGCAGACTATTTCTTGTGTTGGTTTGAGAATAAAGAGACAAGGGATAATGTGTTGATTGGAGGACCATGGTATATTGCAGGCCAAATCATTGGGATAGAACAGTGGACCATTGTTTTATCAGCGAATTCTAGGAGAAGGTTTTCATCGCCTGTTTTGATTAGGCTTCCTAACTTTCCATTGGAGTACTGAGATGAGGCTAACTTAGCTAGGCTGGCTGCTGGGGTTGGGGAACCTCTTTTTATGGATGAACAAACCAAGTTGTGGAATAGGTGTGCCTTTGCACGCATTTGTGTTAGACTAGATTTGTCAAAAAGGCTTTCTAAAGGTCTGTGGGCACAAGGGTTGGAAGGAACTTTTTTCCAACCAATTGAGTATGAGGGGATTCCTTTAATTTGTTTGAAATGTGGGAAGGTGGGACATAAAGCTGATGTTTGTAAGGAGAAGTGTGATATGTCTAAACAACAAGGAGTGAAGGATCCTAGTGAGCTGGAACAAAATGCTGGCAAAGGATGTGGGCCTTCGGTTTATGGTGAAGGTAAAATAATTGATGGGGATAGCTTTTCTTGTGTGAAGGCTTCAGTTATTGATAAAGATATGGGGGAGTGGACTTTTGTAACAAGAAGGAGAAGACCCAAAAATACTCGTGCTGGGTACAGAACAGAAGTGGGTATGGTTAAACCTGATACTCAGGTTTCTACAACCAAGATGGCTTGGAGGGAAGTTAATAATAATCAGGTGGAGGTTGGAAATGCTAATATGCATAAGGCTAAGGCTAATGAACTGGGCAAGATGCCAAATATTGTGAAGGGGCAGGATGAATTTTTTCATTCGGCGGATCAAAGTCAAGGTGTAAATCAGTGGCAGATGCAGATGGGAAATTCGGGTGGCTTGATTCATCCTCATGTTGAAGTACAATCTGTTTTGAAGAATCTAGATGAGATGTTGTGGGCAAAGGCAAGGATTGGTATGCAAAGTGTGGATCAGGTTTCTGCGGGTAGGCCTGATGGATAACCTCTGATTGTTGGCTCAGTTTCCTTGCCTATGGTGAAGAAGAAAAATTGGAGAGAACCAAAGGATTCCCCTGCTCAGCTATTGGCTCCTAGAGCTCTGAAGTTTTCTGATGCTAAAGCCGGTGTGATCAAAGGTAAGAACAAGAAGGATAGGGACTCTAAGAGTGTCATACTAAGGAAATGACACTTATTGGCCTTCTTCAGAAGTTGCCTGGTAGAAGGAGAAGCAAAAATTTGAAGAATGAGGTGGCTTCTACATGCATTGAACAGTTTGTAAATGTTGTGGATAAATTTATTGACAGTAAGCTAAAGGTGGTGGATCTTGCTGATCAATGGCAAGATGTTTTTTCTGAAGTTTTTTGCAGTGGGGACGCTTCCCCTTTGGTTTTTAATGCTTAACATCTTATGTTGGAATTGCAGAGGTGCTCATAAGAGGGAGATGGGCAATTACTTACGACAACTCATTGGGGAGAATAATGTTAACATTATTCGGTTGCTTGAAACTAAAATGGAATCTTTTTCCAGGTTGGATATTGATAGGTTGGTGGGAAGAAACTGGGATTTTACTTTCCAACCATCTATTGGAAGAGCTGGTGGGATTTTGGTGTTGTGGAAGTGCAAGATTTTGGTGTTGTGGAAGAGCAATGTGGGTTCCTTTCATGTCTTTTTTTCATAATGACCAATGCATTATGGGAAGGTTTAAAGCTTCCAGTGATATTGAATGGGAGATAGCCATTGTCTATGCTAATAAAGACAGGTATATCAGGAGGCAAATCTGGGAGGGTATTACTCAAAATCATAGGCTGGATTCTTGGCTTCTAGTTGGAGGTGATTTTAACTGTATCATGGCAAAGGAGGAAAAGGAGGGTGGGAAGCCTGTCAAATTTTCTGTGGCACAAGTGAGATGGGAGATTTTGTGGCAGCCAATGGGTTGGTCGATCCTGGGTTCTTGGGCCCGGCTTTCACTTGGACCAACAATAAGGATGCAAGAAGTCGTATTCTTTCTAGACTGGATCGGTTTCTGATTAGTTCATCAATTTTGGATTCTTTCCAGGGATTGAAGGTTAAGCATCTCACGAGATTAGTTTCGGATCACTATCCTATTCTTTGTTCAATTCAGGAAGGTTGGAGGAGGACTTATTCTAGTTGGATAAAGTTTGAAGATATATGGACTAGCTATCCGATGGCTCGTCATTTGGTGTGGGAGAAGTGGAAGGTGCATGATGTTGGTAATGAGGCATATAAATTACATAAAAAGTGCCAAAGGACCTTGAAGGCACTCTTTTTTTGGAGTAAGGATAAGTTTAAGAGGTTAAAACAACTAAAGAAGGAGCTGGATGGGGAGATCAAAACCTTACAGGAGTTGGAATGCTTGCCGAATGGTCTTTCTGATATTCAGGCTGAGGCTTTGAGATATAAAGTTCAATTACTCAAGAGCATGTTGGCTCGTATCTCGATCTGGTGGAAACAACGTGCAAAAGCCATATGGATCGATCAGGGAGATGAGAATACTCATTTCTTTCATTCCATGGCTTCAGCTAGGAGAAGATCCAGTCATATTCATGCTATGAAACAATCAGATGGAGTGCAAGTAACTGATCAAAGGGACATCTCTAAGGTGATTCATGCTTATTTTGAACAGAAATGGAGTGGGAAAATCATTATGGAGGATGGTTGGCCATCACTTGATTCTCAGATGTCTTGTATGGAGCGGTTTGTTGGAATTCTAGATTGTGATGTTTCTAAAGTGGAAATATGGAAGGTTGTATGCAATTTGTGCCGAAATAAGCACCAGGAAGAGATGGGATAACAACTTCCTTTTTAAAGGCTTTTTGGGTATAGTTGGTGAACAGGTTACATTATCCTATTTGGAGTTCTTTGCAATGGGGGTTATGAATCCAGAATGGAAGGAGACGGTGGTAGTTTTATTGCCTAAGGTCAATAATCCTGAACTTCCTTCTAATTTCAGACCTATCAGTCTATGTCAAACTATATATAAAATTGTTGCAAAAGTGCTAGTTAACCGGTTTAAAGATATTTTGCCTCTGTTAATTTCTGAAGAACAAGCAGCTTTTGTCCAAGGGCGTTCGATCTCGAACCATTGTTTATTGGGACAGGAAATCATGAATAAATTTAAGGTGTCCAAATCAGCTAAAGGGTTGCTTGCGATGAAAGTTGACATGGAACAAGCATATGACAGGATGACCTGGAAGATGCTAGAACTTGTTTTGAAGAGGATGGGATTTCCCCCAAGGTTTTGCTCTTGGGTGTTAAATTGGGTTACTGGCCCTCGATTTTCTATTTTGGTGAATGGATAGCTTACTGATGGAATTGTGGCTGAATGTGGGTTTCGGCAGGGGTGCCCGCTTTCACCATATTTGTTTATTCTGTGCTCGGAGCTGTTGTCGTTGCATTTCCACCAAAATTTCCTGGAGCTTGGAGTGCACATCAGTGTGGGGGGACCTCCTGTCTCCCATCTTCTTTATGCTGATGATGTTTTAATTTTTGTAGGTGCTACTATTCCTAATGTTAAGAAGATTATGACTATCTTGAAGGATTATTGTTCATGGACGGAGCAAAAGGTCAATAATAGCAAATCTGCTATTATTTTTAGCAGGATGACTAATTCAACTACCAAAAACCGTCTGGCTAAACTTGCTGGATGTCGCAAGGTGGAGGAGATGGAATACCTTAGGATCAAACTCACTTTGAGGAAGTTGAAGAAAGCAGATTTTGGACCACTGATTCTAAAAGCTCGGGCAAATACGTTAGCTTGGGGAATCAGGCATTTATCATTGGCAGGGAGAGTAACACTTATTAACTCAGTGTTATTGCCTTCTTCTATTTATTTGATTACCCACACTATTGTTCCAAAGAGTGTTTTAAATGAGGTTGAGAAGATTTGCTGTGGTTTTCTTTGGGATAAGGATTCTAATCACAGAGGATTGCACTATGCTTCATGGGAGAACATATCAAGACCGAGAAGATTGGGGGGTCTCGGGTTTCATGCTAGTAGCAACTGGATATCTCCCTTAAGGGCTAGAATTACCTGGGAATTCTTATCAAAGCCATCAAATTTGTTCCAGGAATGTATGAAACATAAATATGGAGATTGGCCGTGGATGGTAGAACACAAATGTGGAGATTCTAATGGCTGGAAGGTTATTTGCAATGGTGCAAATAGTTTGGCTAATTGTGTTCGTTGGAAGGTGTGTAATGGAAAGGAGGTGGATGTTTTAGAGCATATTTGGATATATGATAAGGCTATTGCTTGCTGGCCCACCTTCTGTGACTCTGGAGCTATTGAGGGATGCAAGGTTGAGGAGTTTCTTATGGCTGGAAGGACCTGGAACAAGGAAAAACTATTGCAGTATTTTGGTACAAGCCTAGTGGAGAAAATCTGTGATGTTAAAATCTGGGTTGAGTTAAATGTAGATTCTTTGGAACCCATTAAAAGTACGCTAGGCTTATCAATTTCAGCTATGTGCTATAATAGTTTGTTCCAAGAAGATGATGATCCTGATTGTAATATTTTGAAAATTGGCTTGAGATCCCCTGAAAGATTATTCTGGTGGAGAATTTATAAAGACATGATTCCAACTGGGATTTGGCTGCATGGATGTGGTTTAGGGGGAGATCTCATGTGCACGATTGGATGTAATAAGCTTGCAGATATGGAACATATCACAACTAAGTGTAAACAGCTATTGGAAATCCTGAAGTGCTTAAACGGGTGGGGGTTTTCTACCCCACGGTTTTCTTCTTTTGATGACGTGCAGGTGGCGTTGGGGAGAAATAATTATCACAAGGATCAGCAAGTAGTATTGTATTGTCATGCTGTTTATGCTAGTTGGGTTAACATAAATGTTATCAAACATGGCAAGGCTAGGTCCACTCCTATTGTGATGGCTGCTAGTATTTTAGAATCCATCAAGCAGAAGTTTTTTTCTACTAGCCTAGAGCAACGGTTCACCTATCAATCCTTTGGATTGTCTTGTTCTTTCTCTTGGTGTGCCCCCCCTACAGGTTGGTTGAAGATTAATGTGGATGGAGCTCTACTCAGATCAAATGCTGGAGAGATTGGTATTGTGATAAGAGATAGCTTGGGCAATCTGGTGGTTGCAGCTGGATGGAACATTACTCATTAGGATAGCACCCAAGTGGAATTATTGGCATTCCTTTATATTGAGAAGCTCCATCAAGATTGGATGTTTGAAGTAGATGGAGTTGTTATTGAAGGGGACAATACAAGTGTGGTGAATCATATGCATAGGTTTTTGCAAAAGGAGTTATAGAGACATTATTCTAAGGAGGGAGATAGTTTAAATTGGTTAATGTCATTCCAAAAGGTCATATTTTTACATACTTATAGAAGGAACAACATGGCAGCTCATTTTTGTGCCCAAAGGGCAATTGAGGACAACTTTGTGTGGGACATAGGAGATAGACAGGATATATGTATTCCTCAAGAATTTTGGATATTCTTGAGGATGATAATTGTTCTTTTTCTTTTACCTAAAGGTCAGTTGACCTTTATTTATTTTACTTGGTTGTAATTGAGTTTTAGATGAATGCAAATGCAAAAGTTCAGCTGGACGATATGTCCAAAATCAGAAACCTGAATTAGGGCAGCCTCATTAAGGCAGCCGTCATTAGCGGATCAGCTTGGACGATACCTGTATCGGTCAGGACGATAGTCTAAATTTAGAAAGAATCAGCCACCATAATCAGTTTAGGAATTCTTTGTTTTAGGAAATCATCCAGGACGATATTTATATCGTCCAGGACGATCTAACTCAATTATGCCTAAATTGATCTGGTATCTTTGGAAAGCATTAATGGTTGATTGATACGATCACATCGTCCGGGACGATCGCCTGATCGGCTGGGATGATGTTCTGCACGATCTACATCGGACAGCTCAAATTTAGAGCGATGATCAGGATGATTGAAATCCGTTTTAAATTAATCGGCCTGGGCGATCGTGATATCGGCCAGGACGATGTAACCAATTTTCTTCTGATTGTCCCAAATCGTCTCAGACAGATGAGCTAAATTTGTACTGATCGGCCAGGTCGATATACCTATCATCCTGGACGATAATGGCGGCATCTTGCATTAATGAGCTTATTTTGAGAGCTTCTATTTAAGCTATGGCAAGGCACTTTGTAAGTGTCTTTGGCAGCCATTGTAGCTTCGTTCTTGTGGGGGAAACTAAAAGAGAGAGCTTGAAAGGGAGAGAGGAAAGGGTGGAGTTTGAGAGAGGGAGAAGATCCTGTGAGGGGGAGGAACTCAAGGGAGTGTGGTGGGGGATCCACACGGTTGCTCCGGCAAACTCGCACCTTAGTACCATCGGATTCAAGGCTTGTCTCGAGGTAACTTACCAAAGAAGAAGATCTCTTTTGTGTCAAAGGACCCGGCGACTCTGCCGCACCGGGGAAGGTGGAAGTGATTTTGTAAGGGCTTCTCCGCCTAGCCGTGGGGGCTAAAGGAGAGACACTAGTTTAGTGCAATACTTGGGGAGTGCCTCTAAGGAGTGGACGAAGGTCAAGGTTTGACCGAACCACTATAAATCCGGTGTGTTCTTTCTTTTTACTATTTCCGCGTTTTAAATTCCGCATTTATTATTGTGGTGATTTGGATTGTGTTTTGGTTTTAAAATTTTCCAATTCACCTCTCTCTTTAATTAGCTTGGGACTAAGTTCAAGAGGGCCTAACATCCCGAACGAACTTTCAATGCTCTCTGAGGGGATTAACTGACTTGATCGTCCCGTACGAACATGGTTC